CTTGTTTGATGCATTACCTACGTGCAGCAACTTGTTTAGAGGCATGAGAAATGGTTAACGTTTTGTTTCTATTCTACAGACTAACTGGGCAGGTAAGGTATGCATCATTTTCTTGTACTTCAGATTCTGAAATGTAGTATTACACCATTTTTGTTTCTATTCTAAAGAATATTTGTGACGTGGAGGCTGTTGTATAACCACTTGGGCTGTATCTTAATTGATGTTGGTTTGATAAATCAAAGTTTGAAGTTAGCTATGAAAAGAATAGGACTTGTATCAAATTGGTTGACATTGTTTTTCTGTTGCTGGACTCGCTTTTCAATGGGATGAAAAGAGTTGGTGTGTTTCCAACAGATAGAACTTGAAAGACTGAAAAGGATTGAGCTTGGGTTGTGTATTTTGCAGAAGCAAGAGTAGGCTGGTTAGATTATTTTATTTGAATTGAGAGAATGTAACATGTCCCAGCATCGGGTGCAATTTACCTAAGCCGCCAAATCCTCTTTTTTTTTTTCAAAAATTTTAAAGAAGTATTTTATTTTTATAAATTATTTATTTCAAAGGTAAAGCAAAGAGATCAAGAGATGGAGAAAGAAAAAGAAAGTAAGGAGAGAATGGAAAAAGAAAAAAAAAAAAGAACGAAAAAGGAGGAAGGATAAAAGGCAATAGAGAGGAATTGGAGTGGCAAAGATGATAACTGTGGAGTGTTTATGTTATGATAATTGTGGAGTGTTTATGTTATGATCCGAACTCCTTCCTAGAGGTTTGAATTATAACCGACTAGAAATCACAAGATTATCTACAATCTCAGATAGAATTCAAATCATAATTAAATATATGTGGCTAGAAAAAGAAGCAAAATAATAAAATTTTATCCAATAAATTGTGCATATATGGCATAAACAAAACATTTTATACGTTAATAACTTACATTCATATATATACAAATAGGTATTACATGTCCAAAGATCATTTATAAGTCATCAACATACAAACCCAAAAACTTTTGTACATGTCAAATATGACCAACAAAAGAAAACAAAGGAACAAAAGTATGAGGCACTCCATAGCTGACTTCATAAAAATTTGAATAATCTTTCACAGCTTCACTAGGGTTGGACATCCCATTACTCACCTACATACATATATATAATGGAGTGAGCCAAAACTCAATGAATAACATCAGAATAAAGAGGTTATATGAATAAGTTTTAATACGTAGATAAAATTATTCTCATATCAATTTTGTATCACAGCGGAATGACCTTGTATCCAATACATGAAAGAACGACCTCGAGTCCAACGTATAACAGATGTACAGAACATATCATACTTGGTGGAACGACCTTGAGTTCAATTCATTACAACTGTATAATGACCATTTGGTTAACACATAACATATATCTCATAACGACCTTGGGTCCATCACATCAACATACAAAACACCCTTAGGTCCATCATATCAATTATACATAATAACCTTGGGTCATTTATACTTAGTTAATCACATTTACAGATATAATATTGATCGGATAGATAAAAGGCTCATTCATAAGCAAAATTATGAATTCAAAAAGGCTTGTCACATTAGAAAATAGAGTATAATAAAATATTTTTACTAAGATATTACTCACAGCGATTTAAGTTATTGTCACGTCTCCATGGATCAACTTACATATCACATAAACATGTACACACATTGAAGCTCATTATTTAATTGAATCATTCTTAACTTATTCAATTCTCTTATGTCTAGTTCTTTCATATTATTTTATTCATGAGGCTTAATTCATGCATAAGAATGCTTAGAAAGGAGTGCGAATGATGATATGAACAGAATATAACTTTTCAAAATGTGCTGAAATATGACACTTCGCTTGAGCGCACTAATGGTCGCTCGAGTGGACCACATGGTCTACAAATATATTGGATGGTTTGAATCTAGGCTCGATGGTCGCTCAAGCCAATGTGCAAAATAAACTGAGGTCACTCGAGTAGTCACTTGGTCACTCAAGCCATATGCAATGCTTTGCAAAAATACTAGAAGCTCTCATTGTGCGCTCGAGCAATGACTTCAACGCTCAAGCGATAAGGTCAAATTTTGGGTTTTCAAAATAGGGTTTTGAATTTCAAATTTTGAGTTCCAAATGTAAAGTCTTGCATGATGCATATTAAACCATGAAAACACTTCTAAAACATGAGTATAAAGCCAATTCTAAACTTATAGCTCAAAAACTTCATAATTTCACAAAATTGAAGCTTAAAACTTCATGCATGTATGAACTTAGCTCAAATTCTTCTCCCATAATTTTCAAAACATGAAATTGAGCTTTAAATCAACATCCTAAGTTCAATTCTTGTGTCTAAACTCATAATCTTCTTGAATTCACATACTTGTTGGCTTTGATTCATGAATTAAAAGTTAAACACATACCTAAAGTGTTCAATTAAGCTTAATTTGGCAAGAACTTGAGTTCTTCTTCACAATTATTCAACCTTCAAGCCAAATCTTCCAAGTTCTAGCTCCTCTCTCTCTAAAATGACCTCACTCTCTCTCTCTCTCTAAAGGCTCTCCTCCAGCAGATTTTTGATATGAAGATGAGTTCAAAGTGCTTAACTTCTTCTAACTTAATACATATACATATATATATATATATATATAAGTTGATTAGCTTAGGGTCTTAATTAAGGGTAAACTAATTGCAACTTAATTAGTCCAGACTTAATTTTTCTGAAGTGAATCAAATTTTAATCAAACTTCCATATAGGTTTTAATAATTATGTCATTCTAATTAAACTTGTCAATTTCAGCTTTTGAAATCATTGAGACCTTCAATTTCAAACTTAAAGCAAAAATCACAACAAATAATTCATCAATGAATAGATATGCATACAAATACACATCAAACACATAATTAACATTCAAAATAAAATAGATATAAGTATAATACGTGATGGGATTGTCACAGTTTACTTCTTTATTCTATCTTTATTCATATTTACGATTAAAAATTATTTTTAATACATTCTTTTTAATTAAAATCTAAAATGTAGATCTAAAATTGTATTAAAAATGTAGCAAGAAATGGTTGTTTGGCATTAGTTTTTGGCAAAAGATGAAAGCTAAATCCAAGCTGCATTCCTCAGCATTTGAATAATTTGAATTTTGTTTTGTTTTGTTTGTTTGTTTTTTTTTTTTTTTTTATTGCTATACCTCAAATTGTAAATGAAAATTGCACTTAATATTTTGGCCAAAAAAACTTTTGAATTTTTTTATTTATTTATAGAAATCAAATATTATATAACAATTTTTTTACCCCTTGTCAAATGTACACTACAACATATAAGAGTTTTAGAGACAAATTTTTTAATCTCTAAAAGTGAAAATTTTGTTACAAAAGATATTTAAGGACCAATTTCTATCATCATGAAAATAATCGCTAAAAGGTCATCCCGAAAAGTAAAAACTAAGACTTTTAACGACAAAATTTTAAAAATGTCACTAATAAATACACTTTTAAAGACAAAATAATTTGGTATCAAAATGATTTATTTTTTGAGACAAAATTTGATCCCAAAAAGATAATAATTCATCACTAAAATCCCAATTTCGTTACTAAAAATATAATAACACTTTTCGCAACAAAAATATTTAATCCTTAAAAAATAATTTTATCCCTAAATTTTGTTCTCTCAAACTTTAATTTTTTGCAGTGGTAGGTGAGCACCATAGTCACTCTATGGTAGTATCCCATATGACGGAATGGTTGAAAAAAAAGGTGATCAATATCTTTCTGTCTCCAATATATCTTGTCGAAAAAAGTTGTAAGCAGAGCACAAAATGGGGCAATTTTTCCCAGGTGGTTAGGCTGGAGGATGAGTGAGATGCTTGAAGAATCGGGAACGAGAGACCAGCTTCAGAGAACTGGGGGAATTCTTTGTGAACGATGGATGAGACAAATGATCGGTTAATTACTAGTGGAAGGGCAGGATAACATCATGAATGAGCAGCCCCCTGTAAACATCTCGCTCATCAGGCCAGCCCTTCAATCGGTGAGGGCCACTTCTCTTCATCCACTAGCTCGTATGAGAGTTGCTTATAACTTAGCTCGTATGAGAGTTGCTTATAACTTATAAGGGTACTTTCTCTTTGTTGCAAAATTCTACCTCCACAACTACTACAATTACCTGCCACAATATGCCGACTCATACACATTTAAGGGGAAAGTAAATAAATAAAATAATAAGTATGTTTTTGTTTGGAGATAAAATCATGAAATTGAACTAGGTATACACAAGTGGGCTTTTAAGTCGACAATTTTCCCAGGTTGTTCAACTTGCTACCCTACTGTTTGGAATGTTCTAAACAAGTAAACTTTTTTACTAAATAAGCTGAACAGCTGAAATTTTATTATCTAAAAAGTTGAAAAATCACTCAAAATTGATCACTCACAAAAAAGCAAAAAAGTCACTCAACTTTCCAATCATATAAGCATTTTTAGATTTTACACAAAAATAATCTCAACAAATCACTAAAACAATCCACCCTACGAGGTTAATCACTAAAATAAGTCACTCAAAATGAGGGGACTAGAGAGAGTCCAAATTAAGGAGTAAAAAGTTCAAATACACTTGAACTGTGATTATTCCACTATGTAGTCCATGTCTAGTGATTCTAAACAAATGTGAAATAAGATGAATTCTACTAATCATTCTCTGAATTTAGGAGTATTCTAAATGTGAGATGTAATTTTATAATTCCAGAACTACTAATCTCATGTAATCCCGTAAAACAAACATGGCTCAATTGGATGGAAAACGCAGCAACACTACCATTTTACCAAAATACCAAACGAAGATAATCAATCACCCACCACACCCAAGCATACATTTTGCATAATCAGATCTTAACAAGGTTATAACTTCATCACTGCCATACATCTTAAACAAGAGGAGCATCAGAGTGTTTACAATCCTTGGTTAGGCCAAGTACGTATTGAAAATGTGGTAAAGTCATCATCATATTAGGTTATCTAACAAAATATTTGAATCAGAAAATGATATTTGTCACTACATGTTTTTGACCGTTTATTTTCAGCTCCTATATGTGTACATATAGAACCCATCATATAGAAAAATAATGAAATCCATCGTAACACAAAACTACATGAGGTGAAGAATTCTAATCAAATATTCCTGTGATATAGAGCTACCCTCGTCATGTTACTAACCAAGAAAAACATCAGCAAAAAAAACCATCAACACGGTCTCCTTTTGAACTTCTAAATCTGTGGGGGGGAAAAACTCTATCATCTTAAATGAGCAAAATACAAAATTTTTACACAAATCAGCTTTGTCCTCTTTGTTTTTCTTGATTATTAAATCAACTCCGCTCCAGCTGTAAGACATTCGTGTTTCCTACTGATGGATAAATCTAGCAAGTCAGTCTTTTCAGGAGAAAAAAATAATAATAATAATACAACAAACCTATATGGTGAGATAGTCCCGCAAGTTAATGAACTCAACCAGAGAGGAACCACCTACTGATAGGCAAGTTCTCTGGTCTTGCTGTCTCATTTGTACCAACCAGTGAGAAACCACCTCAGCATGAAACAGAAGCAGCAGCATATGGCCTGTGGCAAATAAATAAATGAATTCATAAAATAAAATAGCACATATCTTATAATATGGACTTTCCTTGTCCATGCAAGGGCAGCTCCAACGCAAAGCATATGCGCTTTAAGACCAAAAAGCCTGGGTTAGAAACACGGAAATTGGGCAAGCAAGTACAGATCTTGCACCTAGTGTAGTCCCATTATATATCACGACATATTTATATTATTGACCAAGCATTACATTCAGCCGTTTCTGAAATCAATTTCTTGATTGTCTAGGGTCTAAAGTACCACTGCCAAATTGGAGGTTGGGTTTGCATAAATTACAAGGTTAAGGTCACCAAAACCAGACCTCAAAAAGGGAGTCAAGTCCAAAGCAAACCCACCAAAGCAATAAAAGTAGAAAGCTAATTAATTAAAAAAAACAAAAGAATTGAGAATCTGGTGAGTAGGGGGTTGGTTAGAACTGCAAGCCTAATGATTTTTTTTTTTTTTTTGATTGCCACCAAGGTGTCTAGATCAAAGCCCAACGAATCCCCAGAGGTGCACAGGCCCTCGGCAAAGAGTTTCCCACAAGTGCATCATGGTTAATTCAAGGGTTTATCCCCCAATCCAATTGCCCCAAGGAATTGTTAGCATATCTAAGAGGTCTCGATCCATGAACCTTTGAGGGAGCACACGCCCAAGACCTAAGGCCTTGCCACTAAGCCAACCCCTTGGGATTAACTACAAGCCTAATGATAATAACATGTTCACCTTCATGTATGAACTAGTTGGTCTTGCGTCTTAGGTAATTATGTAGATTTTGATTTTTCTAGGTCGTCTGCGTCCTCATGAAGTATGTCCACTTTATCTTTTTCTACATATCTCCATTGTATTACATCTTGTGTCCTACTTATCGTTATGAAATGAAGTGATGATCTTGTTGCCAAAAAAGAAAAATAAAAAGAAAAAGAAAAAAGTAAACCATATGAATTTGTTTTCTATACAAATAAAACACACTTATTCTAGGTGGGGTTGGAAAAATTAAGATAGATCATACCATTTTTAAACCATAGCAAGAAAGAAGAAGGGAAGAGCGAGGCGAAGTGTCAAAATTATCCACAATCATTTGTTAGGCAAGATCATCAATAATTGGGTTGAAGCAATGTTATTAAAGGCGCACCTAGGACCAAGGCTCATCAAGGCACACGTAGTGTGCTTTGGAACTTCTCAGGCCAGGCGATATAAAACAGGTCCCATAAAGACACATGAAGCATGCGCTTTAGGCTTAGTCTCAAGGCGCACAACTTGTGCTCTTGTTTTAAAATGTTTGTTTATTATAATTATAATCCTTGATTTCACTTAATTTGATTGTGTTTTGTTTACATGCAGCTACAGGAGATTAGACCCCTAAACATATATTGCAACCCAACATTTTTTTTAGTCCTAATTATACAAAAGAGTTGGTTGGATAGAGCTTTCTCTTCGACCAAACTAATAGTTGTCGATCTTCTTCTTCTTCATCTCCTTAATCTCCTTCTCTATGCTTATCTTGTTTGACACTTGTTTCATCGCTATTTTCAAATGTTTATGATTTATGAGTTAGATGTTTGTGTTTATGTAGATCTTGAATTATTTGTCCATGATAAAATATTGGAGTTTGTTGGTATTTATGTTTGAAAAGATTTAATATTTCATTTTATTTGTTGAACCTGGAATTATTTGCTTATATTAATTTTTTTTTTTTTTTTATTGTCAACCTGAGCATCACTTCGATGAAGCTCACGCCTCGCCTTGCGCCTTGTGCCTAGGCCCTAGGAAACCTTGGTGCTTCAGTGTGCCTATCGCCTTTAATAACACTGGGTTGAAGTCTCTTAGGTAACCAAGAGTAAGATAAATAGTGTCTGATACATACAATATGCAACTTGACGATTCATAATCAGAAAATCATGATTCCATTACCTGGAAAACAAGTAGATAGATGCAAAGTGACTTTTCTGACATCCTCCCAAATTTTCTCAGGAACAAGTTCACAAGTGTCCCATCGTTTGTTCCAGTCAGCAGCCCTGTCCGAGGATCAAACCTGAAAAGTTCAAAAATTTCACATCATCTTAAACAAGAGTTTGTAGCGATACAAAATGCAACACAACCAGAGTGAAGATATGTTGGAATTTACCTGGGCAGCCGATGCCGTGGACATGGAATATAGCCAGAAAGCTAACAGAAGGTAAATAGGAAATTAGAGCCTTCGAAAATCAAAACACGGAAATATTGTAAGTAGAGAAGAAATGCAGTGATCAAACCTGAGGGAGTGATAGGAGGAAGTTCAAAACTTGAGGAAGGAAGAATATCAAGAGTGTTTCACTGTAACAAGATTTAGTCAAAATAGTTCAATACTCAAAAGCAATTGATATATAGACAAAATGAATAGTCAAATACATAAATATAGAAAGACAATTTTTGCCAAGCACCACATGTTGGTAGTTGAGTCTTAGTTGAGTTTTACACCCATCTAATCAACATTCATATATCAATAACTGAATTCCCCGAAAGAACCAACACCAAACTTTTTTAAGTGTGAAAACTATTTATTTTTAATTTTATTTTATAAACAGTGTTAGCTTTCACTACTGTATATCTTTTTGTGCTGACTTTAGCAATATCTAACGAGAAATTCTGCATATCTTGAGCTTCTATTTTTGTATAAATCACTGAAAAAGATCAAGCTGCAAGTTGCCAGAGAAGTGGTTACTCTGCAAGTCAATGATGCTTGTGTCAAAACATCCAATAAATGTATCTGTGTCATGCTAATGCACAATAGGAGGAAGGTTTTGTTTACAAAGACAAGAATGCCACTCGTAACAGAATACAGGTAGAATTAAAAGCAAATAACAAGCATTTGAAAGGGAAGAATTACATACTTTAATAAATAATGGTGCATCAGGTATGCGGACAATTGAAAGGACATCATGATGCGGAGCATAAGAAGCTCAAGGAAGGCAAAATTCAGAGAAGTGATGATACTTGAACATTGGCATGATTTCATAGAGAAACTGATAGAAATCTTCTATAATTATGTTTCTAGTATTATTAGTCTTTTTTTATTATTATTTTTATGTTTCTAAGATTTTTAAGGTTAGGGGTATTTTGATAATTTTATATTTGCTGACATGGGTCGTGGGGGGAGCTTCTATTTGCACACACCCATTCCCCTCTTTACACATCTTTTTCAATAAATAATTGGTTCGGAAGTAGATTTCCGAAAATAAACAATTGGTTCGGAAGTAGCATTCCGAAAATAAATAACTTGTTCGGAAGTAGAGTTCCGAATTTTTTTTATTTTTTCGACATTCAACTTCCGAATGTGGTTATTTAATATCCATAATAGTAATTTCACTTGAAAATAAAATTATAATAAAAATATTTTTTATTAAATGTGTAAAGAGGGGAATAGGGATGTGCGAATAGGAGCTCCCGGGTCGTGGGTCGCCTATGAGTCATCTTGTGAGTCAAGTTATTTAATTAGTCTTTGTTTTCGTTTTCTTGTTTGGTCTTAAATTGGTTTTAGAATTCAAAAATATTTTAGTAATTTCCTTTTTTAGTTCTAGTTGGTTTAGCAAGTCTGCTAATCCTATATAAAACTATATAATGCTTATAATTTAATAGAGTTAATATTTTAGAGAATTTCAAGAGGTCTTGAAGCTTCTTTATGGATTGTATGATGCAATCAAACTCTAGGTGTGATGCCTAAGGGATTCTAGGAGTGATTCCTAAGCTGATCTTCTTCTTTCTTTTTCTTTTCTCTTTCAATTTACTATAATCGGATTACTATTCACAGCCCTCTAATGTGCATCTTTTAACCTCAAAACCCTATCAAATCAACCCCAAATCAACGCTAATCTCTTCCCTTACCTATTAGCCTTCAATTTAACCCTTTAAACCCTAAATTATTCATTGTTAAGGCCATCAAATAACCTATGCTTTCAAAATTCAGTGCAGTGCTACATCACATCAACTTAGCCATTAGCCATTCTAATGAGTATGAAGTAGAAATGATCACCTACCAAATGAACTTAAAGACATACAACTAGGACAAGTGTTGAGTCACATCCACAACATACAGAGTGTTAGGGTGTGATACTAGTGTCAGAACAGTTTTTGGCAATTGTATATCACCATTGAGGATGGTGTGCTTCTCAACAGGTTTAGGTTTCATAAGGTCTCCACTTTGAGTTTCCATTAGAGGTCTACAACTAAGTAATGGCTTAGTGAGGTGTAAGGGACACGGCCTACGTCTTTTTGATACAATATCCTCTTCTATATGGATGAACATTCAATCTGAAACCATTATCAATAAGCCAGATTTCCTTCATCTCTTTCTATCAGTAGAACAAATTAATATTTGAACTCCGAAGACATTGACTAAGAGTTTCAACATAACAAACTTGCCACAAGAAGCCAAAATTAAAGATGAAATCTTTTAATGTTTTGCAGCTTAATATGAAATCATGTATACTTATCAGGGAAAGCAAAAAAGAGAAAAAAAAAAGAAAGAAAAATTCTCGCAGAATATAAGAAGCCAATTAACATGTGATACAACCAATACCTATGAACATTGGCTACTTCGACAAACATGCCGTACCATTACCGGATACTTACCAACGTATGGTACTTCTGCATATGTACCGGGTACACGAAACACGTACCCAAATTTTTTTTTCTTAATTTTTGACGTACCCAAACGTACCTAATATATACCCAAACCATACCGTACTTCAATCGAGAGATAAAATTCCTTTCACTAGACTTCTTTTTTATTTTTTGTTTTATGTTTAACATGTTTTTAAAATTAAGCTATAGTTTGTATGTTATTTAATATAATGACATTTAATTTTGGTTTATACCTTTACTTTTGGCATTAAATGTTAATTGTAGGTTGGATGTTAACAAATTAAACCATTTAATCAATTTTTGCATTACTCCAAATTAAAAATAAATATTTTTACAAATGTACCAAGCCTTACTCGTACTCTATTTTTTTTGGATTTCACTGCATCAATGTACCCATATCGTACCAACAGTAGTACTCGTACCCATACCCATGCTTCATAGGCCAATACTAATCATACAAAAATGACATATAATTAAGGGGAAGGGAGTTCATTAAACTTCCTTATGCTGCCAGGCTTCCATTTTTTATTTTTTTTCATGTTATAAAGCATGTCCCTTTGGTGGCGGTAGCAGCAAGAAATTGTTTCAATATGTTTGAATGAATTTCATAAAAAGTTTAATGTCCCATCAAACAGTTTTGAGCCGTAAAATATCTAGTTGTAATTTTTAAAGCTACTACATGTGTTACACATTTAAGCTTACATGGCAAATCATACCTCAAGACAGCATAATAAACTTCCATATATCGTTCATTAAATTCTCAGTTCGAAACAAAATATATTATCAAACAGAGAAAGATGGGAGTAGGACAATTAGAAGACACACCTAAAGTGGCCTAGAATGCCAGCAACAGCCATAGTCATTCCAGCAAAGTATGTGTATGTATCACCAACAAAAACTGATGAAGGATACCTAGAACAAAGCCAAGAGAGATTTTCAAGATCACATGATTATGCCATAAGAACATCTGCAGAACGACTAGGAAGGACAACAATGATCTCATTACCAGTTGCAAGAAAGTAAAGCTAAGGAAGTGGCAAGTAACGGTTGCACAAGATAAATAGAAAATGCATGCGCCTGTTTATATTCAGGGTCCGAAGATACTCCAATTTGCATTACATTGTGTATCAAAATCTGCAAACCACTATTTTGTGTCAGATATCATAATAGATTACATTCTAATGTTTGTGTAAGGTTCAGCACTTACAGCAGACGCAATTACAACTGTCTGCCCAACTTCCAGGCCATTTAAACCAGCATGAATATTGATAGAGTTTGTACAAAAAATAGCCAAAAGCCACATATAGAGTTTATATATCCAGCCTGTACGCATCAGAAATTGTAGAAAATTAGAGTAGTGAATCAAGCTATCGACAGAACTCAAGTAGCTAGTATTAATTTCATTATGAAATACTCAGCTCACTCAGTTAACGATTGTTTAAGGGATATAAATTTGGCTCGTACAGGGAAATGAAGTACCATATGAATAAGAAATTACACTAGTGGTACTTAAAAAGAAGAAAGAGAACAAAGATCCCAGTTTTAGAAAGAAGTACCCAGATCCAAAACCTCAAGCCCAAGATAGTGAACGAGAGGCTTTGGTATAATAGTAGTTGTATGCCCAGCATAGGCCATCAACAAAGGAAGAGCAGCAATTGATGGCAATAATAATTTCCTGTCCTTCAAAAATACATAAAATCACATAAAGATCTAGTTTAGAATCAATTCTGAATATAATGCAAAGAGGAAACAGTGCTCCCAAAATAAATGGGTCTCTAAACCTTCAAGATATGATCAAAATACTCACACTCTCCAAGGGACATCCAGGACATCATCTACAAATCCAAGCAATATCATGAAGCATACTGATGCCAATGCTGCATTGTACTCAACAAGCCACTGCACAAGTTCAATCTAAACTACTTGAAGCAAATAATGTTTTAAGAGTCCTACTGAATAATGCAAAAGAAAAAGAGTTTCGATACCTTTAAAAGAAAAACAACAATATTACAAAAAATAAAAGATAAGACTAAAGGATGAAAAACAAAGGTACAACGAGATACGTTGATATGAAGGAATCTTCATCTGTTAAGCCACCTTCTTGGCATGGTTATCAGAATCCCGATCCGAATCTTACGATCCTACGATCTTACGATCCATTTGAGTACAATCAATCCGGATCGTGTAAAAAAATCCTTATAGGTAGGATCTTTCGATCCTGGTAATGGGATCTTATAGGATCGTGGAATCCCGATCCGAATCCGATCCTATCCGATCCAATTTACAAGCCTTGTTTTGTATTTTATGACATATTTTATAGTAAATTTCATGTTTGTTGTCTAAATACCAATTCATGTGATCAAAATAAATAATAAAAATTAACTAATATTGAATCAAATAGACTAAGAAAAACAAACTAGGAAACAAATATTCAAATATTGCGGTAATTTAATAAAATTAACTAGTCAGAAAAACAAATTTAACTTTAGCAGAGTCTAACGAGGGTAAGATGATTACAACTTTATCCCAATTTTTTGAGAGATTATTTTTGTGACTCGAATCTGCTCTACCAGGGATGCTAATGACAAACTTTATCATTCGGTTAAACTGCTCTTTTGCGTTATTAATCTATTTTCATATCCAACTTTATTAAATATTTTTTCTTCACTTTTTATGTATTATTGTAGATTGTAAAGTATTTCGTTATAGAATTCTTCTTCTTCACTTTCTTTTTTGATGAAATACAAAATTTTTACCATCGAGTTTTCTATTGTATACTATATTATATGTACATTTTACACGGAGTATTATATTTTTCACAATATCTTCATTTCTTTTTAATAATAGGTTCATTTTGTGTATACTTTTTAAGAAATATTTATTTAAATTAAATTATTATGTAATTTGTCTTTTTGGATAGGATCTTACGATCCTCGATTTGATTCTACGATCCGTTCCTATAAACACCTCCAACAATCCAATGTAGAATCTCGATTTTAACAACCTTGCTTCTTGGTTCCTTAAGCTAAAACGAAATGAAACAATAATTAGGTAATTCAGTACAAAGTTGATATCCTCCCTATCCATATCACTTTGTTAGGTAAACTAGTCAGAGTAAGGCGAAATGATTGGTTCCTACCAGATAACTTTAGACTTAAAATAAGTCAAGAATGAACAAAACCAAATACTTCCTCATCATCTAACTAATACTCCTCAATATTTTAACAGCGGAAAGTAATGTGAATGTGATACAATTCTTTAGTCCATTGACCATAACCTCAAGTATTTAGATAACTGAAGATAAAGCCAAGTCACTACTCAACTAATCTCCACAAAAGCCTCATCCTAACCATGCAGGTTAGAAACAAACATCATTTTTTGCAATTCTAAGGTCAGTTTCTTCCATATGACAAGCTATGATGTATGAACATTCTACATATACAAGTATGACAACAAAAATTCTGTAAGGCAGACTGGACATGGCTATGTGTCACGGGTTGCCTTGCAAGGCCACTCCGTGACATTTTGCTCGTGGTGGTGTGACCATTCAAGTGCTCAAGAGTAGCCTTTTGAAGGGCCTCAATGTGGCCTAACATTGGCCCCAAGCAGCCCAAGGCATGTAGGCCACACCAGCAGCCAGCAAACAGCATGGCCGCAGCCCATGCCAGCAGCCAGCACTAGCTGCCAGCAGCAGCCCATGCCAGCAGCCAACATGCCAACAGCCAGCAGCATGCCAGCAACCAGCAGCAGCAGCAGCAGCCAGCCAGCAGCAGGCAACAGCAGCAGCAGCAGCAGCCCAGCAGAGCAGCCAACCAGCAGCAGCCAACAGTGCACAGTTTTGGCGCGTTGTTTGGGCATTCAAATGAAGGAGTTTCGGGCTGAAATTTTTATTGTAAAGAGGATTGGGGGAAGTGTATTCCCAACCAAGTTTCGTGATTTTTCTCAACTTGTGGAATTTATGAAAAATCATTATGACTCCTCGGACAAAGGCATGTTTCCTTCTGCCAGATGGCTAATTGCTTAACAAGCATATATAAGGGGGCAAGATGTGCTACCTACCTACTTCCTTCCCCGCCCAAACTGGGCTTCAAGTGAGCAACCTTAGGGCAACTCAAGGGCAGGCTTTAGGCATCTGGAGAGGTGTCTAGAGTCTCCACGTGGGTTTGGGAGCCCCGTGGACGGTGCAATAATGTAAGCACAACGCGTGCCTCCTGAGGGAGAGGTTTGACACGTTGTCTCCCTTATGCCACGCGTTATGGCATCTTGGAGACTCGTTTTAGACCGAATGGGCTATCGAGGCACCACCAAAGTGCCAACTCAAGTGCTTGGTTTGGGTTCAACCTTGCAGGAGGGGATCCCGTGGCTTAAGCTAAGCGATTGGAAGGCAACACCGCATATGTGAGCCATCGAATGAAAGCATCAAGCTATTTATTGACTAAGTCCATTGAGGGACTACATTATGCTGCAAGTGAGCTACGGAGTGAGACGTTGCCTTACTCATGCTACACGTTGGTGCAACGCTAAGGTGCGCAATGGCCTTAAGCAGAATCTAACACACATGTTGGCACAAGGACTACGCCGTGGGCAACAGATTGACCCTCGGTGGCTTGTGAGCTTCGCATGACCAAGTGGCCATCCAATATGCATCTATTGAGACATGCTTGACCCTATGGCACTTCGAGATGCTATCAAAGACCCAACATGCAATGTTGGCTTGTCGGCTAAGTCGAGGGCCTTCGCTAGCGCATTATTGTGTGGCTAGGCACCTTGATGACATGAGTCTAAGTTGGGCGAGCACCTTGAAATAAGCTTGGCGCTATGAAGTGACTTATACCGTGCTTGGTGCACTTGGGGCATTAGGCCTACTTGTGGCATCCAAGTGAAAACGGAGCTTTCTTGTGAAGTTGTTTGCTTGACAAAGCATTGGGCCTTAATGTTCAAAACGGGTGAGATCATCAACATTCAATTTGTCAATGAGCTATGGCGGGCTTAAACTTGGTGGAGTTTGAGAGCCACACAAGCGAAAAATTGATCCGTTGCCCCTCTAAAGGAGTCGGCCCGTGACAATATGGCAAGGATAAGATTATATATTCAAATCAAATCAAACCAAACCAAACCAAGCCTTGTTATATATTAATAACATATCTACATATATAGGCAGCACATGAAACACTCTTCATTCTACCTTTCCCCCATTGAAACCGTTGTTACATAAACACTAATCACATTTCTTCTATATTTAACAACAGCGATGAACACCAATTCCAAAATGCGTCTTATCAATGTCTATAGAAGAACTAACCACATGTAAAGAATATGAACGTTTACTCTAAATTCTGGACACTCCCAAGATATGGTAAATATATTGCCTGGGATAGGAGTACTTGACAATATCAATAACCTTATACGATATGTCATGGCATAGAGAAAATTTTGCCTCCTTGGAAGCATGAAAACACCTCCTAGGGTGCTATGTCAATGTCCCATATGTATTGACATTGGGGGTGTTTGTTTCAACCTTTCAGAGCCAACTTATGGCTTTTAGCTTTGAAAAAATTATTTTGGACTGTTTGGTTAAACTTATTTCAAACAACTTCTGATTCTAACAGCTTATTTTAACTCAAAAAAGCTGATTCTGAGAAGCTGCTCACCCCTTGCTTCTGATTATCAGCTTCTGCTGTAGATATGTTAATGTATGATTATACTCTTAAATTTTTTTATTTTATTTTTTTTTTAAAATAGAAAAAGACTCAAATGGACTATAGATTATTATTATTATTTTTTATGAGAAATGTAGACAAACAAAAAATAAAAATTAATTGAAAAAACTATTTCACAGCTTATTTAACAAACACTACTCAGCAATTTAAATCTATAATCCAACAGCTACACCAAACAGATTAACAACTTCTGATTAAAGTCATAATCTATAATCTGTTAAGCTATAATCTATAAGCTGCTTTAACAGCTACACCAAACGGGGCCATTAACACCCGCAATACACATGTCCATACATGACAAGGCATTTTTTAAAAAAATTATAAAATTGGACATGCTCTGGACACGTGGAATACATGTATCTATCACATAGACACACAAAAGACAAAATTCTTTCAATCTAGATTGGCAGCTCAATATCCTCAAAAATCCATCTATACTGCTCCTGCACGCATGGAAATGAGGCACAAAGGAGCATCCCCCAAGTTAACTCCACACTCCTACTCCTACATGTGCAACCATACTCCAACAAACCAGAACTTTTTCACCGACTTTGACACAACCCAACAAATATTGTTCCACAACTCCCTAGCAACATCAGAGGGCAGCAAAAAAGAGATACACAGATTTATCTGATGTGTACATGCAACACAAATGAGGTAGGTTCCCTCCCTTGCACCCCAAGACAGTCAAAATGACCTCCAAAGTTGCAGTCCAAACAAAAAAGGAGACGATAGATGGAACTTTCACTTGTCCAAACACCTTTTTGAAGAAAGGTTGGGTTCTCATATCCAAACAAAAGACCATTGTACAATTTCACATCAAACTTGCCCACCTTTCCTAGCTTTCGTATTGATAGAATCATCAACGAACTCCAAAATTTCCATAAAACATCTCAAAGCTCATAACATCTTCCAACTCCCAACACTGGAGAGCTCTCCTAAAAAAGGTTCCACCAACCTTCCCTTAATAAATCAAAGCACAATCCACAACCAATGCCTCACTAGGAGCAAGTTAATAAATAAAAATAAAAATAAAAAATAAAAAGGCTAGAAAGACTTCCTTGAGAAGTGCATGCCCACACCACCTCGACACATCAAAAAATATTTCTTTAACTATATCTATTACTAACTAACCCAATGCGTTCTAGAAATTCTTCCCTTCTAATGCTTTCCCAAGCCAACTCAACAAGATTTGACAATTGAACCGAATACCTACAATAGTGTTAGAGATAAGATTATTTTGTTAAAAATATCAGAAGATATGGAAGACATCAGAATATATGGAGAACCCATTATTTGTGCTTATCATGGTTTTTTGTATCTTTGATTTATTTCAATCCCTTAACTGAAGAGATTTGATTGTATCTCACACTGTATATATATATAGTGTATCATGTAATCACGAGTATCAAGTTGAGTAAATAAAAGATATAGCTCATAGGCTTTATGTGTGTGGATGTAGGCCAAGATTGGTCGAACCACGTTAAACCTTTGTGTCCTTTCTTTTATCCTTACTGTCTCTATTATCTCTCCATATTCAACCTTATTGCCTTACTACAAAATTCAATTAATAGCCCATGACCAGCAATTCTAAAATTTATCAAAATACCCATTGATTCTAAAAATAAATAGAATATATAAACATGGCGAACACCACACCACACCAACTTGAAACTAACATAACATAGATTCATATTCAACAACGTATCATTCCAAAAATAAGAAAGGAGAAAAAAGGAAAGTAAAGACAAGTTACTCACATGACAAAAGTAAGAGATGAAATCCTTATTTTGATAAGTAACAACAAAAATGAAATCATAAAAGGAAAAAGCTATTGAATAGAAAATTTGACCAAACAATCTAAAGAAACAGTAAGCTGGAGTGCTTACGCTTGAATCTGACGTAAAGTTGAAATACTGAAAAAATATTGCCAACACTAAAAAAACAATCCCAACAGCAATACCCAATGACTCAGGCCTGCAAAACACAAAATAGCCTCAATAAGTGAAGTTCACTAAAAGATGTATATGAAGAACAAGATATTATCTTGGTATGATCTAATCACACAAAATGATGTAAGAAATAAAAAGGCTACTCAACCAGCTAAAGCATTTCACAACCACAAATTTCAGTGCAAAATCTGTATAGCATATGTACAGGATCACCATTAACTCTATTTGGATCGAGGTGAGAAAAGAAAACAAAACAAATTATAATAGTTTCTCACCTAGGTGGGAAAAGAAAGGAACTGATTATGGTTTCTCACCATTCTATTTGGATGAATAAAAGATAAAAGAATGTGGTTTCTCAGACTAAATAAGAGAAAAGGAAAAAGGGGTTTCATACTATTTTACCAAAATAACCTTCCATATTAACCAAACATATATATAGTAATAGTATTAATAAGCTATTTTTTCAGATCTGACACCAAACTACCATTGACTATAACCATTACAAAATGCTCACACTCAGCCTCTCCCTACAAAAGTTTATAGCCATTAATCAGACACCAAAAGCAATTTGTTATATGATCAAACATGATTAAAATAAAAACTTCATATAAAAACAAACAAAACAAAAAAAACAAAACAGAGTGAATGCTCTTCGGCAAAGATGGAAGTCGTCCAGCAAAGGAGTCCAATGGTGTTCGGCAAGCAAAGTAGTTCGACAGTCTTCGGCAAGCAAAGTGAAATAGATGAATGTAAAAAATGAGATACACAGTCATCTAAAAACTATAAACTTATCATAGCACGGGGTAAAGTTTGTCTCCCCTTTGTTTGTTTGTTTGTTTTTCATTGTTCTTTATAGAACATAATGCAAAACCCTCCAAGCTAAGGAATCCAGTTTATGATCTCCATAGGATATATAATACCAAAAAGTATCATTAGCAAAAACACTAGCCAAATCATGCTGAGACAATACAAACATCAAGGCCTAGATTAAAGGTAAACATTTTAAGAACTTAAACTATCCTTCAACATTAATAAACAAAATAAGAATCTAAAAGTTGCTTACTTCATTAAATCAACATGAAATTACAAAAACCCACATTTCTGATAAAACATGCAAGTTGCAAATAAATGATCTAACAAATAATACCAAAACAGTCTTTCACACTTTGATTGAATAACGACTAGGAGTGCGCATGGGTTAGTTTTGTTTGGGTTGGCACTAAATTTAGAACCAACCCAATTATGATAGGTTTCAAGTTTTTCAACCCTGGACCAAACCAACCCAATGTTGTTTGGGTTGGAACCACGATTCCACTATACTAAAATTATGTGAATCAATCAATAATAAACAAACTTTAATATTTAAACATAACACAAATGAAGAACAAAATATTATTTCACACAACAGGAAGTCCAACTCAAGCTTAAATACAACCAACGCAAATTAAATCCAGTAACATAGTGAATAAAATAAAATCAACTATTGTAAAATCCAACTCAAACTTCCAATACTTCCTTCGTTCAACATAAATTAAATTTTATGTAATATATATAGTTTTGGTTCTCGGTTGGGGCAAAGCCTAAATCACCAACCAACCCAATCCTATAGGGCTGATGATTTGAAGACCTAGAACCTGTTAGAGCATGTGTGAAGGTAGAGTCCCACATCACAGATAAAAAAATAAAAGAGATAGGTCTCAACATACATTAGATGGGCTCTCCACTTATAGCTTAAGCTTTTAAGCGGGTATGGTGCTAGGTATGTGTATTGCTTTGCATTTGTGGGCTCCTCGATTCCGTAACAGAACTGAATCTACCGAACATGGGATTGGTTCGGTTCTTCGGTTTACTGGGTGGTATTTTGTGCTCAAGCTAGTAATCTAAAATTATCTCAAAGTCATTAATTTCAACACATAGAATGCTCAAAGATGAAGTTGCAAACGAATTAAAATCCAAAACATTCTCAGCTCATGAACTGTGACAAATTCAAATGTTTTCCTCAAAAAAAAAAAAAAAAAACTCACACTTTGACAGAACCTTGAGGAGTGCCCTTCTTGTTGATATCGAAACCAAACAAATTGCGCCTCAAGACGTATTTGGAGGCGACGGGGATCATAATTAGGGTTAGGAAAAATCCAGCGGAACTGAGGAGGGCGTTGATGAGGATCGATCGCTTCAGCTCTGCTTCCATGTTGTAGTGATACAAAATCAAGTACAAATATGGGACCAAGAAGAAGATCACAGACACTTTCAGGATTTGTCCAGCCTTCGACGGAGCGATCGGAGCCTCCGTGGTTTTGGGTTGAGTTTCGGTGGTGGTTGGAGGCTTCGCGGTGGTGCTGGTGCTGGCCTCCGATGTGGCTCTCTTCCGAGCTGCCATCACGTCTCGTCTCGTCTCTCTCTCTCTCTCTCTCTCTCTCGTTTGCTTCAGAAAAACTCGAATCTGTGAGCTCGGGGAAAAAACACACACACACACACACTCACTTGGAAAAGCCTCTCTGTCTCTCTCTGTCTAATGATTCTGCGACATGGTCCTCCTTCGGCAACGTCTAAAAATTATTAAATTTTCCTATTATTCTCTTCTTCTTTTTTAATATATATTTTTTTTATAAAATATTAAAAAATTATTTAAATAATATGCTCTTAAATCAGGTCTAAGGGCTCGTTTGGGAACCTTTCCTTTTAGTTAAAAAGTCAAAAAGTTACTAAAATTAGTCAAAAAGTTAACAATCCATATCAAAAAGTCAAAGATTCTCTTTTCTTTCTACATTTTGCACATCTTTTCGTAAAAGTCAAAAAATCATCCCAAATATACTAATTTTTTTAGTTCATATTTTAATCAAATAATTAAAAATTTAATAAATTAACTTGTTCCCAAACTAGGCCTAAATCCACGCAAGATGCACTTGGTCAACTGTGCGCGAACCAGCAAAGATCAAATAAATTAAGAAATTTCTACCTACATCACTAATTTAATGACTTGTACTACTAAAAGTTAATTTTTTTATTTTATAATTTTATAATTTTTTTACTGTCCTCATTTATAATTTTTCTCTTTCTCTTTCTCTTTCTCCTACTCCTTCTCCTCACACCCAAAACTTAATAAAAAAAAAAAAAGAAACCAACACTAGGGTTGAGCATTGATTGATTACAGCCACCGAATCTAAACCCGCTATCCATCCGTCAAATTTATGGATTAGAGAAAATCAATCCACATCCGTCCGCAAATCCAACAAATGCAGATTGACGGATTAGCAGATGGATGCGAATCGGTTTGACGGTTTAAAACTTTATAAATTTTCAACATAATTCAACTTGTGTAATTCCTTAAAAAAAAAAATATTACAATCAATGACTTAAAAAAATATTACAATCACTACATGCCTCATCCAAAGAAAGAAAGTTTGAAACTTTAAAATATTACAATTATTACATGTCTTATCCACATATTACAAGCATAGAATGCTTTATCCACATAAAGTATTACAATTTATGATTCTTAAAAGGGAAATTTTTTTTAAGGTCCCTAAAAATAATAATTTAGAGGATAAAAGACGCCCAAAAAAATAGTGATGCATCAGGTCCCTGAACAACTTGGCGCGCGTTTTTAATTATTTTGTGGACCAAAATACCCTTGCCAAAATCAACACGGAAACGAAACTCATTCCGACGTCTGAGTTCGATTCCAAGCATCCAGCATCTTCACGAACAGGAGAACAGCAGAATTAGGGTTTCAACATCATCTTCACCATCGACATTAGAGTTTCGTTATCTTCTGCAAAAATCATTCTCATTCCTTTCTCACAAATTTCTCTGACCTTCGTTAAAGCTTCGTTTTCATTGCTCATTGTCATCTCAGTCCATCTTCGTCACGTCACATCTTCATCTCAGGCCATATCAGCTCGTCTTTCAAGATTCATCCTAACTCTGGTAAGTTTTTTTACAATACAACTAGATTTTCTCTGGAAACACAGTTAATAGCATTTTATATTAACCTTTCATAAATTAAGGTTTCAATTTCATAATAAAAAGCTACCTGAATTTGGAAAAAGTTATTTCTGTGTGTTTTGAACTTATTCTTGAACATGTTTGTGTGATTTTATCTGTAAAGTTCTCTGGCATTTGAATTTCTCTGATTTTTGCTTGATGTATGTTTCTTCTTTCAATTTTCTCTGGCATGTTTATTTTCAAAAAATAATAATTTTCTGTGTTTTTATCTTATTCTTGAACATGTTTCTGTAATTTTGTCTATAAATTTTCCTGCTCTGTAAATTTCTCTGTAATATGTATTTTTAATTAGAATGTCTATCTTTCTCTGGAATGTCTATTACTCTCTTGCCTCTGTCTAAGTTTCTCTGGTATTTATAATTTTCTCTGACCACATCACATCACTTTCCTCCCTTGTGTGTCTCTATCATTTTTAATTTTCTCTGGAATTTTAATATTATGGACTGAAATGAATGTTTCTTCTTTAAATTTTCTCAGCCATGTGTATTTTGAGAAAAAATTATTTCTCTGTATTTTAATCTTATTCTTGAACATGTTTTTGTGATTTTGTCTATGAATTTCTCTGCTTTGTAAATTTATCTGGAATATGTATTTTTCTCTGGAATGTCTATTACTCTCTTGCTTGTCTAAGTTTCTCTGATATTTATAATTTTCTCTGACCACATCACACCACTTTCCTCCCTTGTGTTTCTCTATCATGGTTAATTTTCTCTGGTTGTGTATGTAAATTTCTCTGGCATTTTAATATTATGAATTGAAACTTTCTCTGGAATGGAAATTTCCTCAAGAATGTGTAATTTTCTCCGGAATGTATATTTTTCTCTGGTATGTTTATTTTGTTCAATTCTTGGTTTCAATGTGGTGTAATTTTCAGTGACATGTTTACATTACTTTGTTTATTTTATCTTACTAATTGTGGAATGAAAATTTTCTTTGGCTTGCCATGTTTACTTTTTTCTATCATTCATTTTCTCTGGTATGTTTACTTCTATATGTAATTTTAACAATTATTGAAAATTTCTCTCACATGTTTATGATGTTGTGTTGATTTTCTCTGACATTTAATTTTTAATGTCCAATTTTCTCTGGCATGTCCAATTTTCTATAATTTTTCCTTATTTGTAATTTTCTCTGACATCTCCAATTTTCTCTTTTCTGTAATTTTCTTTCTTATCTGTAATTTTCTCTGACATGTCCAATTTTCTCTAGCATGTTCAATTTTCTCTGGGATTTAATGTTGACATCTTTATGTTTTAATCATTGTCTAGAAATGGCAAAACGTAAAAGCAGCAAAACACCGGAAACACCAAGCAAAAAACAGAAACTCTCTCAGTCTTCTTATGGGCTAAGATAAAAAACCAGTAGCAAAATACTAGAAACACCAAGCAAGAAAGAACAACTCTCACAGTCTTCTTATGATCTAAGATCAAAAACCATCAGCAAAACACCACAAACTCCTCACCAAAACACACGAGTCCAAGGTGATGAAGCAACTAGCATCCAGATGAGTACCCCAACTTCAAAAGACTCAAGCTTAAGGGGGGAAAAACCTGTTAAACTCCACAGAAAGAGAGTTCACTACAGCATTCAATTCCGATCCAACCTCTCATCTGTCGTCTCCTTTTTTCAAACACTTAAATTCAATTCAAAACAACTTCTAGAGCTTCAGAAGACCCCATTCTGGTATTTGATCCAAGCTCTAACCACTGGAAGGATGGATCCAAAGAAATCTAGGAAATCCGATGATGTAGTTGCCATAATCCAATGTTACAATGAAAAAACAAAAGCATTCACAGTTGGGAAGAAGAACCTGACCTTTACAACAAATGACATGACCTTGATTTTTGGTTTGGAATGAGGTAAAGGAGCCATGTCATTAAGATACTCTAAAAAGTCAAAATCTGCATTCCTCAGGAGAAGATTCCAAAAGGACACAAGACTCACTGGTCCTGTTCTTAAAAATGCCTTGGTTAAAGCAATGAAAGGCAAGCAACTAACTGACTTCAAAGATGTAGCAATCATTGTTACATTGTACTTGTGTCTCACACTATTCTTTGCAACAAGTGGGAATTCAATAGGGTGGGTTTTTATAAAGTATGTGGAACCTCTTGAATCAATGGAACAGTATGATTGGTCAGAAGCAATCATATCAACATTGATTGATTCTATCATGGCATTGCACAAAACTCCAGAAAAAGTTACGGGGTGTGTCATTGCATTGCTGGTAAGTATAATATCCATTCAAATTTGCAGTTATCATACTTACAAATTTGTGCGTTTAGAAAATTTTATTTACTTTAATTTTCATCACAGTATTGGCTATGTGAACATGCAACTATCATTGACTCGGAAGACAGTAACACAACTGATTTCCCAAGATATGCCAAGTGGAACCTGCAAACCTTGACGAAACAGTTACAGAAGACACAAGTCCACTCTCTTACACCTCGACAGGTTAGATTCCTATTGCTACTGAAATCTCAGTGAAATTCCAAAATTTCTCTGACCACTGCTTTGTTTCCCTCCTTGTGCATTGATTGATTAAAATCAATTTTCTCTGAACTATCAATTTATGTTTTCTTCTTTGGTTACCATTGGTCTATTTCTGCCATCGTAATCAATTTTCTCTGCCATCCAAATTTCTCTGACCACAATTGTAACACATTAACTTATATGCCCTGATTGATTTTCTCTAATATCTGAATTATGTTGGTTGTTTCATAATTTTCTCTGGCTCATATAATTTTATCTCATTGTGTGTAATTTTCTATGCCCATAACTTATGTGCCTTGCATCTTTGATAAACACTGTTTATTTCTACCATTCTAATGAATTTTCTCTGAAATCCAAGTTTCTCTGACACAATTATAGTCAAACATTAACTTATATGCTTGATTGATTTTCTCTGATATCTAAATTATGTTGCTTGTTTCATAATTTTCTCTGCCTCATAAAATTAACTCCTTGTCTCTAATTTTCTCTGGCCCATACAATTCTCTGAAGTTTGTTTCCTATTAGTATCATTTAGATTAATTTTATTTTCTTTATTTGAATTTTTTTTCTCAGTGAATTTTGTAACATTTCTCCAATAAAAGAGTCTCCTGTTACAGATAGATAACAAGCAGCTAGTCAAAAACCCATCAGAGGAGTTCTGTCTTGGTAAAAAGACGAAGAAAGAATCAAAAAAGGTAATTGTCAAATTCAAGGAGACATTATAAGATCCATCTGAAGAAGGAGGGAATGAAGAAGCAGAAGGCAACATAGAAGAATACGAAGCCAGCAATGGACAAGAACATCAAGCAAGCAGTAGAAAAGAAGAAACCAGAGAAGAAAGTGAAGAAATAGAAGCAGAAGACAAAGAACAAAATGAACAGAAAGAAGAAGACAGTGAACAAGAAGATGAAGAAGAAGATGAACAGCAAGAAGAAAACAAGGAGGAAAGTGATGAAGAACGTAATGAGCCGATGGATTAACAATGTGATAGCATTTGTGGCTCAACAATGCATCAGCCTCAAGA